TTGTACACAGGGGACAGTCATGGTGGGACAGAAAAGGGTCTTCACCAAACTGGTCACACCATGTCTTTATGGAGCTGGCTTTGTACACGGGGGACAGTCATGGTGGGACAGAAAAGGGTCTTCACCAAACTGGTCACACCAGGTCTTTATGGAGCTGGCATTGTACACAGGGGACAGTCATGGTGGGACAGAAAAGGGTCTTCACCAAACTGGTCACACCATGTCTTTATGGAGCTGGCTTTGTACACAGGGGACAGTCATGGTGGGACAGAAAAGGGTCTTCACCAAACTGGTCACACCAGGTCTTTATGGAGCTGGCATTGTACACAGGGGACAGTCATGGTGGGACAGAAAAGGGTCTTCACCAAACTGGTCACACCATGTCTTTATGGAGCTGGCTTTGTACACAGGGGACAGTCATGGTGGAACAGAAAAGGGTCTTCACCAAACTGGTCACACCAGGTCTTTATGGAGCTGGCATTGTACACAGGGGACAGTCATGGTGGGACAGAAAAGGGTCTTCACCATACTGGTCACACCATGTCTATATGGAGCTGGCTTTGTACACGGGGGACAGTCATGGTGGGACAGAAAAGGGTTTTCACCACACTGTTACCACAAGGCTGGAAGATCACAATTGTCTAGTTGTCTTTTGTATGATGTAGTATTACCAGGACCCTTCCCTGCAGACACCTGAGGCCATCATTTGGAGGGGGAGCACATAGATTTGATCATAGAGTGTCTGTGATTCCAATAATCAGGCGTTGGAATGATCCCGTAGGTCCCCCTTGTCCAGTTTCTCTCAATGTCTCTCTGTGGCTGGGTGTGTGTCCTCTCTCTCTCTCTCTCCCTCTCTTGTTCTCGTATGGTGCTTTGCTTTCACTGTTGGTGACGGGTTACTTTTTCTCTCTCCTGCTTGGACATTAGGCAACTTCAGCGACGGAAGTGGCCAAAAACGAAGAGACCTCCCTCTAAATCCTTGTGAGTTGTCCTCCTTCCTCTCTTTGTTCGGTGGGATAGTTGTCTTGTGTCCCTGTATGGGGCCGCCATTTCTCAGCCATATTCCTGGGGAACGCTTAGGCTGCTCCTGAGGTTCCTGGGGATCCTTTGGCCCATTACACATGTAGAGGACAGTCCTCTTGTGTCTGACAATGCATACGGACACTTGTCCTAGTGACCATACATGGAAGTGGCCATTTTCTGCTAAACAACAATTTAAGTGTGGGGGGTGGCTGGGCAGTTCTCTATTGACTAATTATAAGGGGGGTACATTGTAATTTTGGCTTTATTTCCTGATGATATATAGCCCGGGGGTTGTCCCTGGAGTAGTAGGAGCGTATATGTATCCCACAGACTAAACGTCCTCATTTATAAGTCACATTTTATTTACTAAGTCCTGATTTATGATGCCTCAATGTTATGGGTCGGGCTGCTAATCCTCCCAAGACAGAGCTCCTTTTTGGCTCAGGGGGTTTAGCAGCCAACTAACAAGCGAGCACCGACCTCGACGTTGCCGGATCGAATCCCGGCTTCTCCCTTTCTGAATTTTTTACTCGGAAAGGACGTTTTACCCTGAAATAGGAGATCAGACCCATCAGTCATTGAGCAGAGGTGAGTAGCTCAGTGGATAAGAGCAGTACCCAGAGCGATAGAAGCCTCGAGTTCGATTCCCGTAGCCCCCAGGTCAAGTCTCTGAGTGTATTGTGTGGACATCACTCAGTGACAGCGCAGTGAACTCGAGCTCAGATCTCCCAGTGAAGTGGGCGGAATCCCTCAGAGATGGAAGGACAGTAGACCCGAGCTCGAATCGCTGAGTGAAAGCTTGGAGGCCATGGACAACCCACCAGTCTGCTCCAGTCCCAGGCCCCCACAGGCCTGTAACATGTGTGGCATCACAATAGAGTGTGGACTACCCCCTCTTCGGTCCATAGTCTGTGACATCACTGCAACATATATAAATACAAGGGCCTGTCTTACCGGGCCGGCCCATTCAAAATTTAGGGACTTAGGGTTTTTTTGGCTCACCCCAGATATATATATATCCAGGTGACCTCCCAGGTACTGCACAGTACCTGAACCCCCTGCTGGTGGGATATAGTAGTGGGTTTCAAACATTCCCCACTACCCTGTTCCACCAACAAGGGGCTCAGGTACTGCACAGCACCCAGGACTACAAGGCTTGCTCAGGGATTCGAACTCAGGTCTCCAGCAGACCAGTCACAGCTCCTACCCACTGGGCTACCAGCACTTCACACCAACCTAAGTACTCCTTGTCCTACTTCAGGTTTTTGGGAAGGTTGGGAAGGTTAAAGGCTTCGCACAGGAAGACTCTTCGAAACAACTGGAACCATCGTTCACATTTGAAGACCACCTTCAGGGGGATGCTGGAGGACGCTTCTTCACCCTGATGGATTGTGGGTAGATAGTCCGCGCTGTGGGAGGACTTAGAGACAGATAAAGATACTTGTGACTAATGACATGACCAGAGGAGCGCAATCCTCTCTAAAAACTCCACTTCTTGCACCCGTAA